TGACAACAATACGTGGTATAGACATGGCACAATCGGCGCAGTTGTATTTTCGCGTTAGGGTCTCTGCACAAACTCTTTCATAACGCGTTACGTTACGTTAAGTACTATAAACTTAAATTCGTACATAAATTTGAACTTTATTCAAAGCACAAACAAAATTCACTTAAATGTAGCATAAACATGATACGTTAATTTTGTTTGTGCGTTGAATAAAGTTAAAAGTTACGTACAAATCTACGTTTATGTGACCAGTACTTAACGTAATGTAACACGTTAAGAGCCGTCTACAATGGAGAGTTGTAGGCCGTAACAGTAAGAAATTGACAAATCACAATCGATTATTCTTCTGTACTTTGTCTGTGATTGGTCAATTTCTTACTATTACGGCCTACAACTCTCCATTGTAGACGGCTCTTTAGGGACTCCGCACAAACTCTTTCGTAACGCGTTACGTTACGTTAAGTACTATAAACTTAGATTCATAAATTTGAACTTTATTCAAAGCACAAACCAGTGGCATAGTAAGGGGGCGAAGGGGGCGATCCGCCCCGGGCGCCGTCTTAACAAGGGCGCAATGGAGTAACATGTAAACGCGTTTTTATTGCTTGAAGCTCAAGTGTTATTTAATTTAAAAAATTTTATTTATTATAATTTTACTTTTCCGATTACTTGCGTAATAGAGATACGAAGTGTCTTTTTATAAAATTCGGCGGTTTTTTAAGTCTAATATTACTATAGTGTTTAGTATAGAATGGAAAGACTGTTTTGTTTTTTCTTACTTATTCTTAAGAGAATACTTAAAGGAACCGTCCTGTTGTATCAACATAATAGTACAATAATAGATTTTAAAAATATTTGAACTTTAATTTGCAAACACAGGAATTAGTTTTTCTGTCAAAACGGCAAAACGTCTATTATACATTTTTGAAGTTAAAACTAATCAAAACTTATTTTCGTTCAACTATGAGATGCGATTAAATGGGCTTGCGGTGCTCTTTATAGAACGAGATGCAACAAAAAAGATTGATTTTTCAGATGTTATTAAAGAATTTGCAAGCATCAAAGCCCGCAAACTTAAAATTTAAATATTTATATAATAAATATTTTATTATTTATTGCAATGTAGTTTATTTAAACAATTTTTGTTTATTTTAAAAAATTTAGTTTATTAAAAGAGTTTCAAATATATGAATTGACGTTATATATAAAAAAAGTAAAAGTGTAAAATAAAAAGATGTTGAGCACTAACTTAAAAGACCTGTTAGTTATTTGAGTGGTCATTATCAGAATAACTTAATAAGAAAGTCACGAAGAAGAAAGACCGCCTCAGAAAAGACGCTGTCTTTTCTTACTACGCTACTGGCACAAACAAAATTCACTTAAATGTAGCATAAACGTGGTACGTTAAGTTGGTTTGTACGTTGAATAAAGTTTAAAGTTACGTACGAATCTAAGTTTATGGCCAGTTAACATAACGTAACGCGCTACGAAAGAGTGCAGAGGCCATTACAAAAAGATTTATGCGGAGACCTTTAAGGCCAAAGCACAGACTTTTGCATAATGCATAACGCATAAAACATAAGAGAATCAACTAATCAAAGCTTTCTAGAACAAGAAGTAGGGATGAAAACAAAACGCTGGATTGGTTGATTTTCTTATGTCTTATGCGTTATGCGTTATGCAAAAATCTGTGCTTCGGCCTTTAGTCGTATAACTATCATAACACGAACAGTTACAAGTAATCACGAGTACTTCCGACTAATCTCGACGAAGTTATCCGAGTGTATAAAAGTACCGTCTCAAGTGGGTCAGATATAGATATAATATAGTTACAAGTACTGATATGATTCGATATCACTTTCTTTCAATACTTACTTGGATCGAAAAAAAAGGTATCGATACTAATTTTACTCGTATCGAATGAAAAGTATCGAGTAAGTACTCGTATATTTACTTGAATCGAATCAACCCTAATAGTATTAGAAGTATGCAAAACTTTTAAATTGCTTATATATAGATTGCTTATAGATATCGAGCGTGTCTTTTAATTCATAAATAATTAATCACATTAAGAGCAATCTGCAAATCGATATTGCTTTTATGGATAAATTAAAAAACTCGCTCGTGATTATAAGTTATTTAAATAAAGACATGTAATGTATTTTTCTTTTGTTATGTCAATGTTGATCAATCTGCATAAAAGTAACGCATTATGTCATGTCCAGTCATATTTATTGATATTGTAATGCTATTATTTTATTTTTACATCATTTTTGTGTTCCTAGATATGAGCTGTAAGAACACATACAAAAAAATATAAGTAATAATATTTAACTGACCACTCATCGTCATAATTGTTATCTAACAGATTAAGAGCAAACTATTATTTTTCAAGCGGTATTTATCTTTCGCTTAAAAAGTAATCGATAATGCCAGAAAATATTCTAATTAAAAATATTGTATCATCCGTAAAATAAGAATAAAAGTGTCTTAAAACTGTAGTGATAAAAAGTGATGGAAACTTTTGCATATCTCTATTAGATATATTTTATAGAGTAACTCAAAGTATTCCATAAATTTTTTTCTTTTTTTCTTATTTTATAAAACAATGCAACAGTCCATAATGTAGATCCATAAATTATATAACTCACAAGGGGAGCACCAGAAGTGGTTATCGTGAAATTCGATGCCAATTTTTTTGGTGGTTCTATAGGTCAAAAAAGTTGTTCCGTGTTCGGCTGTTTGTTCCAACCTTAGTTTTTAAGTTTTTAATTTTGAAAAAACACGGCTTTCTTAGGTGCACCGGAAAAGTCGTTCCGTTAAGTCTATTTATAAGCAGCTTCGAGTGATTCAATGAGTTAGGTGCTTGCATTGTAATTCGAGGCATGCGGGTTCTAATCCTGCAATCAATAACTTTTTTTTTTTTTCTTCTTGTTGAATGTATTTTACATTGTTATATATGTTTTTGCATTTTATTTAATGTGTATTTAAAATTATATGTAAGAAATATATAATATAAAGTTTTGAATATATCGGAGAGGAACAAGACAAATTAAAATCTTATTGCAGATGTTGTTACAGACAGTTATTTATTCAGTATTTGATTTATTTGACGTACAGTGTTGAGAGTGATACATATCATAAAAGCACGGAAAACAGTGAAATTTTCTGCAATTGGAACATTGTATAAACGATGCCATGCCACATGAACATTTATTTTTCCGAATGTCTGATAGAAAACAAATCTAATTTACATTAGAAAATACAGGTCTTTCCGAAGTCAATTTTGAAGCGTACCATGCAAATCGAATCATGTTATTGAAAAGGTTTGATGACAATTGTGAATGTATTATAACAAATGAATCTTATTTTTTTAATTTGTATTTAAAATTCAACACATTAGAATAGTGTTTGAGAAATATATCTTTAAGAATTTTCAGTGAAGAAATATTTACAGTCCTGTGTAGGTCAGGTATCTGTTTAGAATCTGTCTCTATAAAAACGACCGTTATTCTGTCAGAGCGGGAGGGGAGAAATTCCATAGAAGATTTTAGGGAAAGGACGTTGCACATGTTTTGCAACAAAACCGTCAACTGATACATTCACAATTGTCATCAAACCTTTTCAATAACATGATTCGATTTGCATAGCACGCTTCAAAATTGACTTCGGAAAAACCTGTATTTTCTAATGTAAATCAGATTTGTTTTCCACCAGACATTCGGAAAAATAAATGTTCATGTGGCATGGCGTCGTTTATACAATGTTCCAATTGCAGAAAATTTCAATGTTTTCCGTGNTAAGCAGCTTCGAGTGATTCAATGAGTTAGGTGCTTGCATTGTAATTCGAGGCATGCGGGTTCTAATCCTGCAATCAATAACTTTTTTTTTTTTTCTTCTTGTTGAATGTATTTTACATTGTTATATATGTTTTTGCATTTTATTTAATGTGTATTTAAAATTATATGTAAGAAATATATAATATAAAGTTTTGAATATATCGGAGAGGAACAAGACAAATTAAAATCTTATTGCAGATGTTGTTACAGACAGTTATTTATTCAGTATTTGATTTATTTGACGTACAGTGTTGAGAGTGATACATATCATAAAAGCACGGAAAACAGTGAAATTTTCTGCAATTGGAACATTGTATAAACGATGCCATGCCACATGAACATTTATTTTTCCGAATGTCTGATAGAAAACAAATCTAATTTACATTAGAAAATACAGGTCTTTCCGAAGTCAATTTTGAAGCGTACCATGCAAATCGAATCATGTTATTGAAAAGGTTTGATGACAATTGTGAATGTATTATAACAAATGAATCTTATTTTTTTAATTTGTATTTAAAATTCAACACATTAGAATAGTGTTTGAGAAATATATCTTTAAGAATTTTCAGTGAAGAAATATTTACAGTCCTGTGTAGGTCAGGTATCTGTTTAGAATCTGTCTCTATAAAAACGACCGTTATTCTGTCAGAGCGGGAGGGGAGAAATTCCATAGAAGATTTTAGGGAAAGGACGTTGCACATGTTTTGCAACAAAACCGTCAACTGATACATTCACAATTGTCATCAAACCTTTTCAATAACATGATTCGATTTGCATAGCACGCTTCAAAATTGACTTCGGAAAAACCTGTATTTTCTAATGTAAATCAGATTTGTTTTCCACCAGACATTCGGAAAAATAAATGTTCATGTGGCATGGCGTCGTTTATACAATGTTCCAATTGCAGAAAATTTCAATGTTTTCCGTGCTTTTATGATATGTATCACTCTCAACACTGTACGTCAAATAAATCAAATACTGAATAAATAACTGTCTGTAACAACATCTGCAATAAGATTTTAATTTGTCTTGTTCCTCTCCGATATATTCAAAACTTTATATTATATATTTCTTACATATAATTTTAAATACACATTAAATAAAATGCAAAAACATATATAACAATGTAAAATACATTCAACAAGAACAAAAAAAAAAAAAAGTTATTGATTGCAGGATTAGAACCCGCATGCCTCGAATTACAATGCAAGCACCTAACTCATTGAATCACTCGAAGCTGCTTATAAATAGACTTAACGGAACGACTTTTCCGGTGCACCTAAGAAAGCCGTGTTTTTTCAAAATTAAAAACTTAAAAACTAAGGTTGGAACAAACAGCCGAACACGGAACAACTTTTTTGACCTATAGAACTACCAAAAAAATTGGCATCGAATTTCACGATAACCACTTCTGGTGCTCCCCTTGTCAGGTTTTAGCATAAACTTTTAATTTAACTTCTAATATTAAAATAAGCAATAAAAAATAGTTCAAATAACAAAATATTTACGAGGTGCTGCAATAACTATATATTGGTAACTTCCAGAAAAATTATTAATTAAGATAAAGAGTTTATAGTCGTAATTTCAAGCGTAATTATTCCAGATAGCACATCACATCAAAGTATTGTTGTATATGTAGACAAACTAGATAAAAATAATAAAAAGAAATAATTTCTATATATAATACAATCCTTTGAACTATATCGCGATATGGCTTTCACATATTTAAGATTACATTTATTATAGATATGCTTTACTCTGACATTTCCTCGCGAAGTCTCGAGACTACGTGAAAGAAAGATACAAAGGAATGTCAGGATTCATAAATCAGTCGCTGATAATGCGGAAATATTTCCCAGGTTGGCAAATGTAAACCAAATTCTAAAGCTACTAGCACAGCAAACTCAGATGTAATTAGATCTTTGCGATTTAAACGGAATACACCTTCAATTCTCTGCAAATAAAATACTGACCATAGTTATATTGCATAAAAAATGCTACACTACGTGTTATTAACAAAATACCTCAATGAGCGACTTAAGAATATCACCCTTCACATCATTCAATTTTGCTGCAAGAAGTAAACAAGCGCCAGCACACAACTTCCGTGTTTGCTTTGTCACAATGTTTCGAAGGATTAGTTTTTCAAAGTATACGTAGGCCATTGCAACAGTAAGTAAATCAATGCCATATTCTAGCTTTGCTATTTTTCTCATCTCTCGCTTTAAGCTGGAAAACAAGAATATAATTCATGAAAACAATAAGGCAAAAATCAAGAAAATACTAATAATAATTTATAATGTATGTATAAATTGTACTAACCTACGAAGTTTACTAAGAGTAAGTTGAATATGAGGAAACTTTTCTTTGAATTTGTCATTTAGTTCTTTTTTCAAATCAGAAGGTCTTACATAATCAATAACAGATGCCTGCATAAAGTATATCAATGAAAATTTGTATATAAAATTATTAAATACACAAATATTTTGCAAATATGTATGTAAAACATGTACCATATAAGATGTAAACGTCAATAGCGTTCTGTGTTTTCCAGCAATAAGTTCTGGGTCGTCTAGTAAATTTGGATTATATTGAGCAGATTGATCATCCCATTCATAAACTGTAATAATTTATAAAATAATTAAATAATACACTTAGACTATTAGCATCAATATAAAACAATTTCTTCAAAAAACCATTTTAAGATATATAAAACATTATATATATATATATATATATATATATATAT